TTGTAATAGAGCTTGAAGTCCAGAATCTTGATGACTCCACTTTGCTTTTCTCTTTCAACATTACTTTGGCTGTTTGGGATCTTTTGCGGCTCCATGCAAATTTTCAGATTGTTTATTCTAGTCCTGTGAAAAATCCTGGTGTTATTTTGATCAGGATTGCATTGAATCCTGTAGATTGCTTAGGGCAGTATAGATATTTTAACAATGTTTATTCTTCCAATCCATGAGCGTGGAATGCTTTTCCATTTCTTTGTGTCATCTTCAGTTTCTTTCATAAATGTTTTATAGTTTTCAGCATACAGATCTTTTACCTCTTTGGCTAGGTTTATTCCTCGGTATCTTATGGGTTTTGGTGCATTTATAAATGGGATCAATTCCTTGATTTCTCTTTCTGCTGTTTCATTATTGGTGTATAGAAATGCAAAAAGATTTCTGTGCATTGACTTTGCAACTTTGCTGAATTCATGTATTAGTTCTAGCAGTTTTTTGATGGAGTTTTTCAGGCCATGACTTCCAGTACTGTATTGAACAACAGTGGTGAGAGTGGGCATCCCTATCATGTTCCTGACCTTAGGGGGAAAAGCCCTCAGTTTTTCCCCATTGAGGATGATATTAGCTGTGGGTCTTTCATATATGACCTTTATGATGTTGAGATATATTCCTTCTATCCCTATTTTCTGGAGGGTTTTTATCAAGAAAGGATGCTGTATTTTGTCAAATGCCTTTTCTGCATCTGTTGAGAGGATCATATGGTTGGTAATGAATAATCCTTTTAACATACAGCTGTATCCAGTTAGCTAGTATCCTGTTGAGAATTTTGGCATCCATGTTCATCAGGGATTTGGTCTGTAGTTCTCCTTTTTGGTGGGCTCTTTGTCTGGTATAGGGATCAAAGTAATGCTGGCCTCATAGAATAAGTTTGGAAGTTTTCCTTCCATTTCTGTTTTTGAAACAGCTTCAGAAGAATAAATATTTGTCTTCATTAAATGTTTGATAGAGGGGCACCTGGGTGGCTCAATGGGTTAAGCCTCTGCCTTCAGCTTGGGTCATGATCCCAGGGTCCTATCTGCTCAGCAGGGACCTGCTCCCCCTCCCCCTCTGCCTGCCTCTCTGCCTACTTGTGATCTCTCTCTCTCTCTCTCTGTGTCAAATAAAAAAAAAAAAAATGTTTGGCAGAATTCCCGTGGGAACTATCCGGCCCTAGGCTCTTTTTGTTGGGAGATTTTTTATTACTGATTCAATTTCTTTGCTGGTTATGGGTCTGTTTAAATTTTCTCTTTCTTCCTGTTTCAGTTTTGGTAGTTTTTATGTTTCTAGGAATGCATTCATTTCTTCTACAGTGCCCAATTTGTTGGTATATAATTGCTCATAATATTCTCTTATAATAGCTTGTATTTCTCCAGTGTTGGTTGTGATCTCTCCTCTTACATTCCTGATTTCATTTATTTGAGTCCTCTCTCTTTTTGATAAGTCTGGCTAGGGGTTTATCAATTTTGTTAATTCTTTCGAAGAACCAGCTCTTAGTTTCATTGATCTGTTCTATTGGTTTTTAAAATTTCTTTATCATTTATTTTTGTTTTAATTTTAATTATTTCTCTTATTTTGCTGGTTTTCGGCTTTATTAGCTGTTCTTTTTCCAGCTCCTTTAGGTATTAGGTATTATTTAACACTTCTCTTGCTTCTTGAGTAAGGCCTGGATTACTATATACTTCCATTCTAGGACTGCCTTTGCTGCATCCCAAAGGTTTTGGACTGTTGTGTTTTCATTTTGACTTACATGTGTTTTTTTTTTTTAATTTCTTCTTTAATTTCCTGATCAACCCATTCATTCTTTAACCTCCATGTATTTGTGTTCTTTCCAAATTTTTTCATGTGGTTAACTTCAAGTTCCATAGTGTTGTCATCTAAAAATATGCATGGTATGCTCTCAATCTTTTTGTACTTGTTGAGGCCTGATTTGTGACCCTGTATGTGATCTATACTGGAGAACTTTCCATGTGTGCTCAAAAAGAATGTATATTCTGCTGCTTTAGGATGAAATGTTCTGAATATATCTGTTCTGAACATATCTGTTAAGTCTGTCTGGCCCAGTGTGTCATTCAAAGCCATTGTTTCCTTGTTGATTTTCTGCTTAGATGATCTTTCCATTGCTATAAGTGGGGTGTTAAAGTCCCCTACTATTATTGTATTATTATCCATGAGTTTCTTTATGTTTGTTATTAATTCATAATTTATATATTTGGCTGCTCCCACATTGGGAACATAAATATTTATAATTTTAGTTCTTCTTATTGGATAGATCCTTTTTTTGATATAGTGTCCTTCTTCATCTCTTATTACACTTTTTGGTTTAAAATATAGTTTGTCTGATATACGTATCACTACTCTAGCTTTCTTTTGATGTCAATTAGTGTGATAGATGTTTTTCCACACCCTTACTTTCAATCTGGTACTGTCTTTGGGTCTAAAATGAGTCTCTTGTCAGCAGCGTATCAATGGGTCTTGTTTTTTTTAATCCATTCTGATACCCTATGTCTTTTGATTGGAGCATTTAGTCCACTTACATTCCAAGTAATTATTGAAGGATATGAATTTAATGCCATTGTATTATTGGTAAAATCACTATTCCTGTATATTGTCTCTTTCTAATCTTTGTTGCTTTTGATCTTTTCCTCTCAAAGCGTCCCCTTTAGTATTTCTTACAGGGCTTGTTTAGTATTCACAAACTCCTTTAGTTTTTGCCTGTCTTGGAAACTCTTTGTCTCTCCTTCTATTCTAAATGACAGCCCTGCTGGATATAGTATTCTTGGTTGCATATTTTTCTTGTTTAGCTTATTGACTGCATCATGCCACTGTCTTGCAGTCTGCCAAGTTTCTGTGGACAGATCTGCTGCTAAACTTATGTAGCTACCCTTGTAGGTTAAGGATCTTTTGTCTCTAACTCCTTTCAGAACTCTCTTTGTATTTTGCAAGTTTCACCATGGTATGTCACATTTATTGCCAGCCAAAATCATTGAAACATCTTCTCTGTCCTTTACCCATTAAATGGTCTTATAAGTGATAAGACGTAGAATATGCTTGTGTAAATCCTTGGCCATTCTTCGTATATAAATCCCTCATCACTGTAAATTTCTGTGTCCTGCTGTGTCCAGTTTTTTGAGCATACACTTTTGGCAATCTACTTCAACTTGCTTTTTGTAGGAATCTTCTATCATTGGGTCATATATTTCAATAAAAATTCCAGGAACAAACTGAACTGTCAGAGCAGACTTCCCATGCCTCCTAAACCAAGGGCCACTAGTTTGTACTCATGCATGATGCAGTCTTTTTAAATACTAATGGTCTACTCAGTGCCATTAAAGGTGCAGTGAGAAACACACTGTTATATACAGGGTAACCACCCTCTGATCCAGTTATCCCACCTCTGGGAATCTAGCCTCCCCTGCCCCATCCAGGCCCAGGCCTCCTCCTCTCTCCTCTCTGTGGTGGCTCCTGCTCTGTCTCTGCACAGTGGGGGCAGCAGCAGCTGTCCCTCCAGGACACACTCACCCACCTAGTATTTAATTTTTGCTTAATTTTCTTCTTATGTTCCAGTTCCTATCCAGGATACATTACATTAGCTCATTTATTTTGTTGCTCAGATTGTTTTGCCTTTGGCCATTGAGACCACTTGCAGTTGGCTTCTGTATCCCTTTGAAATACCTTTATCAGTTTGCTTTTTGAGCACTTTCTTATGTTCTGGCACAAGAATGTATGTGTGTGTATGTGTAATATAATGGGAAATGAAATAATAGGAAAGTTATATAACCTTTCGACATAATTAGAAAAGCAAGGTATGGTGAATTGATGAATATTAGTACACAGCCATCAGCAACTAGGGCTTTGTATCTTGGGTTGTTTTTAGTTCAGTTTGCTATTCATATCTCTTTTAGCTTGATTTAGAAGTTAACCAATGAATTTTTTTGTGATCTTGCGTTTTGTAAATAAAATGAGAGAGTCAATGAATTTAGAATGACATACTTTTTACTTAAAGAGGAAACTGGGATACTTATTATATTATCAAAGGATTGTTCATTCAATAAGTATACATGTTAAGAGAGGCAAATTTATATGTTAAAAGAAGAAAACAACCTCTAACTTACTTTTGAACTAGAATAATCTGCAGATTTTAAGATACTAGGTCTATTTTTATAGGTCTATACCATCAGTATCACAAGTTTTAGGGAAGGAAAAAGACTTAAGAAGTAATACCATTTCTCAGTTCTCTGATTCTCAAAAGGCATTTCCACAGGTAAACTGGCCAAATGGCATGGAACTGTGCAAATAGAATGATCAGGAGGAGTTTGTAGTTCTCACGTTTCTGGTTCTCCTATGTGTATTCACACTGGGAAAGGTAATACTTTCTAACATTGTTCCTTTACTTGTTCACATTTATCCTTTTGTTAAATAACAGGAAGCAATGCAAAAATGTATTGGACAACAGTTTATTTGTGAATCTAAACCTGGCTGGTACATCCAGTATCATTCCTGATGAAATTTGGTGTGCCCAACAGTAAACACTTATTTAACTTTGTGAGACAAAAACAGAACCAAGTTTCTACAAATGAGAAGAAAGAACCAATAGCAGTCCTAGGACATAAATGGAAGTCCCTGCTTTTCATTTCATTTGCTCTTTCAGAACTACATCATATGACATTAAAAGAATTGTTATAAGCAGAATGTCCCTATATTTAGTTAACAACAATCAAAACTCATTTATTTATTCATTTATGTATTGAGGGAGGGGGACAAGGGAGAGGTGAAAAGGAGAATCTTCTTTTTTAAAGATTTTATTTATTTGACAGAGAGAGAGATCACAAGTAGAGAGAGAGAGAGAGGAGGAAGCAGGCTCCCTGCCTAGCAGAGAGCCCGATGTGGGACTTGATCCCAGGACCCTGAGATCAGGACCTGAGCTGAAGGCAGAGGCTTAACCCACTGAGCCACCCAGGCAGCCCGGAAAAGGAGAATCTTAAGGAGACTTCACACCCACCATGTGAGCCTGCCACAGGATCTGACAACCCTGAGATCATGATCTGAGCCGAAATTAAGAATTAGGACGCTCAACTAACTAAGCCACCCAGGCAGCCTCAATCCTGTTTTAATACATAAATGACTTCTTTGAATATGTACTACTTAGACTCTGTGTGTGTGAGGGAGTAGAGAGGAGAAAGAAGAAGTGAGGAATGACAAATCACATCAATAGGCTGTACTATAAAAGAGGGCAGCTACAGATCTAAGACAAGTCTTATTGGATCCTAATGTGGTAACAAAATGACCAGAAGAAGATGGGACAGCTAACTTAACGTCCCAAATTTTTCAACCAGGTTGGACCTATTGGCAGATGCTAGATTATTAAAATGACCCATGAGCCTAGAAAGCTGAAGATAGTTTTCTCATTGAAAAAATAATGACATGTTACTTAGGGTAAAGAGTAAAAAGGATGAGGTATCAGGCACACTAGTGAATAGTTAGTGAAATAAAATGGTTACGTGTTTATATATCTTCTCTTAGATGCATACAAGACTATTATTTCTCTTATCTCTCAGGAGATATACATTTAGTTACTATATTAAAAACAAAAGATTGAGCTTCTAAAAGAAAGCCAAATCCTATCAGATGCAGAATTACATGGAATCATCCATTTCTTATACAGATATTGACTTATGCTCCCCACCGTTATATTTGATAAATGACAACAAACATTTATAAGCACATACCACAGGTCAAGAAATCGGCCACGGACAAACAAAGATGACTAAAAAAATACCTAAGTTCACAGTTCAGGGATTACTAAAAGGAAAAAGTGGCGGGTCATAAAAGGAAAGGAGGGAAATCAATATGAATGAAAAACTAGAATCTCACTGTAGGGAAATGAGGACAGAGGATTAATGCTTTGGCAAAAGAAATAAAAGGGGATTCCTGGGCAATGTGAAGCTGAGAGTTGTTCAATCGCATCAGATTCTTAAGGCATCTGTAGATCCAGTTTTCCAGAGAAAACTAGGGCAATGACAAATAGGACAGCTAACAGTAGGTCATAATTATAGCAAAGAAAACAATAGCCAGCATAAACCTGGCCATTGTTATTGTGGAAGTCATGGAATTTCTGCTTTCAATTACTCTAGTCATCATTGGCTTCCTGATACGATCTTCTGTGGTGAGAATAGCTTTTCGGGCTCCATCCCATTTTCCAGGGCCTTGAAGACGATAGTGGATTGGAGTGCAGGGTCCCCAAAATAGCTGTATTGCCAATTTGGGGTCAGTGAAGGCCAGAGACAGCAGATTGGGCCTGACGCCCACCAGATCAGCAAGCTCTTCCATGGTATCTATATAGTCTCCCTGAATAGTATGACGTTGGCTCTCCACATACCTGAAGCAGAGAAAACAAAAGTCATGGCCTAGCAACAATTCAGTCAGTCAGTCAGTCGGTTATTCAGTGCTTCTGAGTGCCTGTTACTGGCTCCATATTCAGCTAGGAGCTGCAGAAAACAGAGAAGAAAGACAAGACCTTGTCTCCAAACTTAAAGACCTTATATAATCTACTGGAGTATATAAGATGCACATAAAGCAGAAAAGAATGTAAGACTTTTGGTATATTGTGTGGTTTTAGATTGCTAAATAGAAATGTTAGAAGAGGGTAGTTAAAAAAGTGCAATAAGTCCTTGAAGGATGTGGAGGATATATCCCATAGCAAACAGCAAAGGGTTACAAGTAAAGGGAGCAGCAGAATGAAGGAATAAAGTAGGAATGGGTATGGAATATGAGCATGGAATATCTATGGATGCTACATACAGTAGAAGAGGAATGTTGTGAAAAACAAGAATGGATAGAAAGAAGCAAATATAGCACCAGATACAGAGGACTCTAATGTTATGAGAGAACTCACCACAAAAGTTCTCAAGTTTGGGATCTTCAGTTGTTTTTGAGGGCAGTGGTAGTGGGGTCCACAGAGCAGGACTTCCCATGGCCAGTGCTAATTTGGAATACCGAATGGAGGGGGAGGATGACTTATCCCACTAGAAGAAGCAGCCCTCCAAACAGAATCAGATGGAGTCATTACACTACGTGCAGATTTGAAGAGTTAGAACTTTTTAGGGAGAAAATGTGGTAACAGATACTTGTGGAAGGAGTGGGATTTAGAGAGCTACCTGGTAACTTTTTATTTCCTATAAGGAAAATAAAATAAAGTAGAGTAGTACAGAAAGGAAGAGAAAAGCCAAGTCAAACTAATTGAGATTAGATGGGATAACTTGACGAATCCAAAAACAAGAACAAGAAAAAATGAGAGAAAATAAATTTGAGGAGGTGGAATGGAATTCTAAAAGAACTAACAGATGTCAAATTGGAATTTATTGAAATGGGACCAGTTTTATAGAAATGGGACTAGACAGGAAAGAATTTAAGAGCTTCCCCTTAGGGATATTATGTTGGCTTAAGGGTCTGTAGCCATTCATTTATCCTATAGTAGTGAGTCAAGAGCTGAGTATTCATGAAGGTTTCACAAAAGGGATTCACTACACCAGCCTTGTACAGTTGTTGCAAGGATTAAATAAACTCATGCATATAAAACACTTTGTGTACATAGATGACCCTCAAAAAAGATTATTGGAAACTGCTCACAGTGAGAAGGTACTAGACAAAAATAAGTCAAAGGAAAGAGAGGAGGAAAGTTGAAACAGTTTACAGCCAGTAAAGCAAGGAAGGAAAGCATTCTAAGAAGGAAGAGACATTTAGAAGCACCAAACTCAGGAGTGAGAAAAAAAATGAAGTTGGTCAAAGATGACCTTCAGGAGAGCAGTTGCAGAATTAAGGAGGGAAGTTACAAGGCAGAAGGCTTAGGAGAAAGAAAAGGGTGAGAATTTAAGCATATATTGTAGAATACTTACTGTAGAAATTTGGCTGTGAAAGTTAGGAGGGAAATAGCAGAGTACCTCTGACTTTTGTACAATAATGTAGGATCTTACCATCAACTTCCACTTTATCCAAATGAAAATCATCCAGTGAATGAACTCAAGTTCTGAAATTCACATTGCTAAATTACCATATTCACCCAAGCACTAAGGAACTAGCTGATGTTACCACCTTCCCAAATCACAAAGACTATTTGTACCACTAGCTGCTGTGACCTGGGAGCGCTGTCACATGATGACAGCCAGCGAAGTAGCCTAATCTGATTTGTAAATCTACCTGCAGATTTGTAACTGGACCATACCTTCCTCCCATTAAGTCATTGACACTCTTCTTTTGTCTGGCAGCTCCACTAGCATTTCAAGTAATTCTACCAAATTATACCTGATTTTCTCTCCATGTGCTTTTTCCTACTTGACTTTTCTTTTAGGTTTAATCACAGGATTTTAAATGCTTTTTTCTCCTTTTCTGTAAATATTCAAACCACTTGGTATTATTTCTCCATTTTATTGTCGCAAACTATTATTTCTCTTCCCTTCAAAATATAACCTAAATCCTTAACACAAGGAAGATTAAATATAATACAATAGGGGTACATGGGTGGCACAGCTGGTTGAATGTCTGACTCTTGGTTTCAGCTCAGGTCGTGATCTCAGGGTCAGGAGATCAAGCCCTGAGTTGGGCTCTACCTGCAGGGTGGAGTCTGCTTAAGACTCTCTCCCTCTCACTTTGCCCCTCTCTGCTGCATGCATTCCCTCATATAAATAAATCAATCTTTTAAAAAATTAATAAATATAGTATAACATTACTCTAATTAAAAACTAAGTAGAAAAAGTAACTGCATCTCTCCTGGGAGAATTTCTTACCTTTTTGAAATTTCCTCTTGAGCCTTAGCTATATCTGCATTCATTTCACTTTGTGAGGGCAATGTCTTTAGCCCTAAAGAGGAAAATCAAAATTTTAAGTGTAAAATCACCCCATGGGGAACAATAATCCTATTAATAATCACTATGCCAGGGAGAACTCAAAGAAATACAAGATAATTTTCTTTTTTTTTTAAATTTATTTGACAGACAGAGATCACAAGTAGGCAGAGAGGCAGGCAGAGAGAGAGGAAGGAAAGCAGGCTCCCTGCTGAGCAGAGAGCCCGATGCGGGGCTCGATTCCAGGACCCTGGGATCATGACCTGAGCCAAAAGCAGAGGCCCTAACCCACTGAGCCACCCAGGCGCCCCACAAGATAATTTTCTGTACCCAAGTAGGGTATACTTCACTAGATCTAGTGAATTATCCCATTATCCTTACAATATGATATTAACAACAGTAACTTACTGTATTCTACTTTTGGGAGATATTTCTCCTATTCTGCCTTCTAACCAATACTGTCCTCCTCCCTAACATCATCTTCCTGATTGGGAAATGAAATAATGGACATGAGGAAATAATTAATGGCCCCACAAGTATATGAAAAATAAAGGAGGAAGTAAAAGGACAGGATGGGGAACCACACCCACATTTGTACTCTTTGTAACAGACTTTGTACCATAGGGAGAGAAGGAAAACTAAATTTTTTATCCCATTTTATGCCCAAAGACCTATAAAGGTAAGCTTTTCCCTATTCTGCTTGGATTCATCATAGTTTCAGAGGCAGCCCATTTCATCTTGAAATGAGAATAGCTGACCAAAAGAAAAAAAAAAAAAAGAAAAGAAAAAATGTTGGCATGTTTGTTCCTAATGTTAAGCTGATTTTGTCTAACCCTCAAAGTTTCACTCCTTGGTTCTGGTTCAACCCTTTGAAGTGATACTGAGCAAATCAGATCCTTCTGCCAGGGACATTCTTCAAACCTTCGAAGGAACTCTCTTATCTCCCCTGAATTTTATCTTCTCTAGGTAAACCACTCTGGCTCCTTCAGTTGTACTTCAAATGTCACATTTTCAAATCCCTTAACCATTCTTGTCTCTCTCCTTTTCATGTACCCCAGTTTCAATTTTTAAAAAATATTTTATTTATTTATTTGACAGACAGAGATCACAGTAGGCAGAGAGGCAGGCAGAGAGAGAGGAAGGGAAGCAGGCTCCCTGCCAAGCCGAGAGCCCATGCGATGCAGGGGCTCCATCCCAGGACCCCGGGATCACAACCTGAGCTGAAGGCAGAGGCTTTAACCCACTGAGCCACCCAGGTGCCCCCCAGTTTCACTTTTAAAATGTGTCTTTGGGAAAAACAAAATAAACTATGTCTTTGAGTATGTACTGACCAGTTGAGACAAAAATTTAAGTTCTTAGAGAAAAACAATTTTAAGTTCTAGGACATTAGAATTCTTTAATGCTGCTAGAGATAATTAAGCCTTTTAGGAGCCATATCATTTTCCTGACTCATATTGAGCCTCCCAAACCCTGAAGTTTTTTCTGATGATCTCCTAGCCAAAACTAAAAGAGGAGGAAAAGGGGGAAAGTCAGAATTTGAGAGGTTGAATCTTATATATTCTGGACTAGTCTTTAACCAGGTCTTAATTTTTGGCTGAAATCAAATCATGCCATTTCTATATATGCTCTTCTCTATAATGCAAGATTACATTCCTTTGCTTTACAAATATGTATCAGTTGTCTAAAATCTAGATGAGTGGATTCTAGTCTGCAGTACCATTGGAATCAATGAAGGAACATATTCTCAGAGATCTTATGTCTGCCACACTTAGATTTATAAAATAAATACCACCAGGCAAAGCATAACCATTTTGGGAAAATTGCCCAGGAGATTCCAATATATGTCTATAGTTATAAGTTATTACTTTACATTCACTCAAAAATAATTTTTGAGCATGAATTTTAATGGCAGGCACTGTTATAGTCACACATACTGTTTAGTTATTTAAAAGCAAGTACATAAACATAAGTAAACATACCACTAAGTAGTTAGGTAGCATGGTCACTTACCTTTAAATACTTGAGTGACCCAGCGTCCTTGCAGCTCTGAAATGGGCATAATGGCACCCAAGGGCTGGATCAAGCCTATGATTGCAAGAGTAGGCTTTTCCAGGTTAGGAGGGAAGACCTTTTTATATAGGGATATCTTGTTTTTGACTACTTGGACAGAATCTTCAAGGAAAGGGAAGGCAAAATTATAGCCTGTGGCAAAGATAACAGCATCAATGTTGTCCTCCCTGGAGCCATCTTCAAATATGGCAGCTGTTTCTGTGAATTCCGTCACGTTTCCTTTCACCTTTACCAAGCCAGAGATTATACGATTTGGCAGGTCATCATTCACTGTTGGATGTTGACTCAGAGGTCTGTAAGCAGTGATAAAGATCAGAAGAAGGAGAAATGAAAGAAAAAGAGGTATCAGTAATTATGTAAGTAAAATTCTAGTTTGATAGAGGTGGTTAAACAATATGCTAATGGTGTCCCTCTTGGTCTATCCATGAAATTTGGGAAAAGTCTAATGTATACCAGCTTGGCACAGATCAGGATCTCAGAGCAGACGTTGGGACCTGGATGTCATTGAAGACAGGGCACCTGGGTGGCTCAGTTGGTTAAGGATCTGTCTTTGGCTCAGGTCATGATCTCAGAGTCCTGGGATCAGGGCCTGCATCTGGCTCCCTGCTCAGTGGGGAGTCTGCTTCTCCCTCTAACCCTTCCCTGCTTGTGTGTACTCTCTCTCTCTCTCTCTCATAAATAAATAAAACATCAAAAAAAATAGATGACATTGGAGAAGTAAAAGAAGAATGGTCTTATTTGAAGAGTGTATATATGGTTTCTCAAGAAACAGTAGTAATATTCTCAGTGATATGATAAGGTCACAGGCCTATAGATTCTAGCCACAGATTAATGAGTCTGGAGAACTGAGCTGTCTGCATTCTATTGAGTCTCATTTCTAGTTTCAAAGGCCCAAGAGCTAGAATTAAACCATGATTTTTCAAACTGTATAATATATGACATGTATATAGTAATTTACAGTTAAAAATCGATTCTATATATATTCACTTATTTGAGTCTCACACAAACCCAATGAAGGAGGAAGGACAGGTATCATTATCCAAGTTTAGAGATGAAGGAAATTGAGGACTACAGAACTTAAGTGGCTTGCCCAAGGTTATTCAGACCAGGACTTTAGAATTTATCTCAAAATGGTTTACTGTGAATTCCTTTGGGAGCCTCTAAGCCTCTTAAGTAGTATTTTCCTAGAGACAGCATAGGATAAGGGTACCCCCCCAAAATAGGGTTTCCAGTGTCGTGGACCTTTCTAAAAATCAGTCTGGATCCTTGGCCCTTAGTTAACAGGCTCTGAGAATTCTCGGCCATCATATTCAGACAGAGCTGGTCTAGCCTCAGGAACATAGTCTCAAAGTATCACCCCACTGATCAAAGGGAAAAAATCTTAACAAAGGAGAAATTTCGTAGGTGCAACCTTATCCAACTGATCAAATTTAACATTAGTACAGGATAAACTCATATCATGTGGATGCTGGTGTGATCCACCAAGAAGGTACAATATAACCTATGAGTATTTGTGCCAAAATGTTTAACCAGAATATAGTAAAGGTGGAACAACTATGAAAGTCCAAACTTAGAGATTTTTCTGTAAAACAATTGGCTCAACTCTTTTATAAAAGTCTTTGTTGAAAAATGGTGAATTATTTCAGATGAAGAGAAATTAAAGAGACCTAACATTTAAATGCAATTGGCTAATACCTGGAAGGATCCTAGATTTAAAAATAAAAGAGCCATAAATATTTTGGGGACAATTTAGGAAATCTGAATATCTGATATATTAGATAATGTATTTTATCAATGCTGAATTTCCTGTGTGGTCTCTGTGTTATGTTTATGTGGGAGAATATCCCATTTCTTAATATATGTTGAAGAATGTAGGATAAGGTGTCCTAGTGACTGTGACTTACTCTGAAATGGTTCAGGAAAAAATATGTATGTATGTATCTATGGATAGATGGATGCTCTCTATATGTGGAGATTTATCTATCTGTAGAGAGGGAGAGAGAGAGAGGAAGCAAATACAGCAAACTGTTGATAGGTGAATCTAAGTGAAAGGTATTATGTGTACTCATTGTACTTACTATTTTGGAGTAAGTAAATCTGAACACTAAAGAAAATAAAGAGTTGGAAAAAAGCATTTAAAAATCAGCCTCTAGGGCGCCTGCGTAGCTCAGTTGGTTAAGTGACTGCCTTTGGCGCAGGTCATGATCCTGGAGTCCCAGATGGAGTCCCGCATCAGGCTTCCTGCTCGGCGGGGAGTCTGCTTCTCCCTCTGACCCTTTCCTCTGTCATGCTCTTTCTCTCACGTAAGTAAGTAAGTAAGTAAATAAATAAATCTTAAAAAAAAAAAAATAAAAATCAGCCTCTAGAAATGCTTTCACAGTCTACCTTCCTGCGTGAGGACTCCCATACTTCATACCCCCACAGCTCTCCATGTATTTATCATATTCTATTGCCTGTCTTCTCCTTAGAGTATTTAAGGTAAGATCCATTTCTCAAGTCTGACATTTATTTCTTGTGTAACCTCATAGAAATTAGTTTCTCTAAGTGTCAGTTTTTATATCTGCAAACTAGCAATTAAAAAAAATAGTTCTAACCTATAGAGTTGTTGTGAGGATTAAATGAGATCATATACAGAACTCAGTTAGCAATGTGCTTGTCTTATAGTAAGTCTTCAGAAAAGTAAGGTGTTATTATTTGTATTAGTATTACTATTAGGTCTTTAGTCTCTGTATTCTTGTGTGCAGTATAATGCTTGGCTCATACCAGGTGCTCAGTGTTTGTAGGATGAATGAATAATTTACTGCTATCTGCTACCATTTTATTGTTACTGGGTATCATGTAAAAAGAACCTGTGTTTGAGGAAATGATAAAATGGTTAATGCCAAGGAGAATCACAGGCTGATGATTACAGATCAGTAGATCTTGGACTTCTATATGGTGCAAAGTAGAAATCTGATTTCAGATATGTGTATTTTCTTTCTTTTTTTTTTTTAAGATTTTATTTATTTATTTGACAGAGAGAAAGAGAGAGAGATCACAAGTAGGCAGAGAGAGAGGGGGAAGCAGGCCTCCCCGCTGAGCAGAGAGCCCGATGCGGAGCTCGATCCCAGGACCCCGAGATCACAACCTGAGCCGAAGGCAGAGGCTCAACCCACTGAGCCATCTAGGTTCCCCAGATATGTGTATTTTCTTAATGTATGGGTAGAAGTAGCTCTACTGTTATCCCATGTGAAGTCCTTATTCTTGTGCATTGGCCATCACTGCCCTACTTACATTATGGCAACATACCTGTGTTTCGGCTTTAGGCCAAACATTTCGTGGTCAAACCTTTGGTTCAACTTTTTCTCCAAAAAACTGTTGACTAATGATCGACCACAAATCTTCGAAAGAAAGTATTTATATCGAGAAGAGAATAACACATCAAAAGGATATCCAAAGTCTGCTACACGATTCAGGATCCAAGCCCCTCTCCTGGTACTGAGGAAAACCTGGGGCATGGGGAAAAAATTGTTTTCTTTTGTCATTCTCTCCTCATAATCCTTTAATAGCACCCCACTCTCTTCAAGATTAAGTTCAAACTAGTTTGTCTGTCTTTTTTTATTTCCTGCAATTTTTCTTTTCAAACACTAAGTGTACAATTAAATTAGTACATTCACTGACCAAGAATGTGTCTTTCTCTCAACCATGACTGCATTTCTGTTTAATGTCATTATGCCTCCTTGAAAAGCCACCTATCCTTTTAATTCTCCAAAGCCTATTTATTGTCAAGATCCAGATAAGTGTGCCTCCTCCATAAGACACCACTGACCATTCTGCCTGACATTTTCTCTCTGTCCTTTGAACTTCTCTAGCACTTAACCTGTCCAACTCATTTAAAATCAAGGAGCAGTAGAACTGAAAGCAATTGGACATCATTTAATCTGAAACCCTCAGTCTCTTTTGCTTTGACATTATTTGCATATTACCAAAAACCCCTGTTATTTATCATTTATATGGATATTAAACTTTTTACACTCTTATTTCTGTCTCTGCAAATGTGTTTCTTCCAGAGTGGGAGGTACAGTGTAGACATCTTTCAGTCTCCCCAACCCACCATCCAACCCAACATCCAACCCACCATCCTTGTTGCTTCCATTTATTGAGAATTGTGACCTGTAAGTCACTGTGCTGGTCCTTTATCTATAGTCTCACTTAATCAATACAACAACCTCTTGAAGTAGATATTATTGTCCCCATTATATGGATGAGAGCCATGGAGAGAATGAATAACTTGCTGAAATCGTACAGTTAGTAAGTGGCAGAGTTGAATTTCCAACCCAGGTCTGATAACCCCAAAGCCTGTGCTTGAAGAAGTCTTGCACTGATTATTTTATGGAAAAACTGCAGATCACTAATAGAACAACAGGAAGCTGGTCAGTGTTTATGTGTCCTCTGCAGGCTAAATTCCACGCTCGGACCTGAGTTCTGACATTCAATTACCTGGTGAAAGTATTACTTTCTCTACAAAACTCTCTGGAGATAGTTTCCATAATTGTAAGGTATATAAGTAACTGCTTTATGGTCTTTTGTCTGTAAACTCTCATATAAAAAGGTGACCAGTCTACAGAGGGATAATAACATACTTCACTCATAGATTCTCACTGATGGTAACCTTACATGCTCTGATGATTAAGTACAGTTGAAAAAGTGTGCATGGTCTTAGAAATCACACAGGGTTGTGCGTAGTCTGTATAATTTTTGTTACATAAGTATGTGAGTAAATGCTCAGGGTCTCAATTAAAAGATTCCCTATGTATAAAGCAGTAACAATAATACATCACAAGGCTGTTGTGAGAATTAAATAGTGGTTCTGCAAAGGGTGGGGCATATAGTAAACACTCAATAGATGCCTAATGGCTATCGTCATATTTCTCATTTCAGTTTCCCATCTATAGCTTGCTTTAAGCAAATACCATATGTACAAATCTGGATTTATAAGAAAAAACGTAAGGACAGTTGTTTTATAAGAAATGAGTGTTTTCACAAAAACATTATACCACAAAATTTATTATACCAAAACTTCCTTGATAGGCTGAAACTTATAGGTCCATTAAATTTTTTGATCTACAAACAAATTCTAATAAATACAATTTAATATGTAAAGCAAAAAGTTAGAACCCAGCAATTGAGTTTCTTTGACTTGCATTAGAGGCGTGCTAGTGTCACCCCTGCCATGCAGACATGGTTGTGCCCTGAGTTGTCCCCAGGCCTTCTCAGACACAGCCACCTTATCTCCATCCACTCTGGATGCTTTGTTCTTTGGCAGTCTCTAGCTCCTCAGTGCATGGAAGGCCCAACTCCCTTATAACTGACCATTTGATAAGCCAGTGCTATTAAAGAAGACTCATGCTTTGGGTCACCATCATATACCTTACATACTCTTTTATCATAATACCTATATACATTTTTACACTTTTTTGTTTATATACCTATTTACTGATAAAACTTGTTGAATTAATTTATGGGGTAACATATGAAATTACTTTTGTGGTGATAGATGGGGATAATACTGAGAAGTGTTATTGAATAGAATTTCTGGATAAAGGTCATTTAACAAAGGTGTGGCATTAAACTTCTATTTTAAAAAAATTTTAAACATATATGTGGAGAAACACAGCTTAAGTAAAGTTGTTGGAAAATGACCATTTACCTATTGCCAATAAAGTTATTCAATAAAGACATGAATAACAAGATATAAAATGACATGTTTTTTTCTAGGAATTTATAATGAAGACATTTTCTTTCCAGATCAAAATATATGATACAAAAAACAAAATAGCTCAGGTCTTTTTTAACACTGGAGTGCAAATCGGGACCCAAAAAAACAAAACAAAACAAAAAAACTCTAGGTTGTAGAAATTGCTTTAGAGTGAATGTCATTCTGATACCTAACTGTATGCAAAGGCTGGGCTGAACTCCTTGCACATGCTATAACATGGATGCTTTTCATACTGATATCCACGTTATCTTTGGAAAGATTAGACTGTTTCTATTTTCCATTTGGGGAGTGAAGAGAAAAACTCCCTCACCATCCTGTGAATCCAAAGCCTTCCACTAAACGCCCGTGCTTTCCTTTATATGAGAGTGTGGCACTTCCACTAGCCTCAACAGGTGCCACACTCTGAATGCTGCATTCAACCAAGCTCCTCAAGCTACTGCTTGTTCTTCCAAGTCAGAGGCATACTCAGAAGAGACAGCTGACTGGGATCATTGGGATTCTGTAGTGTGAAGTCAACTGAATGTTGGGAATCTAACAGGGAATGTTGGCTCCATCATCTCATCGTCATAATGTTACCAACGAGGCAACGGAGCCAAGCCCTGCTTGCCACTGGCACTGATAGGCTGTGGGCAGAAGTATTCGTACTCTTTGTTGGGTCTACATACAGCTTCCTTGATGCAGCAAAGAAAATAATTTACTAATTCAAACCTGCTTGGCTGTGTGGCAAATTTCCACAGCCAGATCCCCTCCCGAATTCCCAATGCCAATTATAATGACTCTCTTTCCGGTGAAAATATCTGGATTCTTATAGTCTCGGCTATGGAAGTACTGTCCTTTGAACTTCTCAATTCCTGCAAGAGAAGGGAAAATAATTATCGGATGAGGTTTATCTGCTATTATTCGTGGAAACATCCATTTCGCTGGCAGTATGTAGAGTTTAAGCACACATCTATATTCCCCCCCTATTCAGCTACATGGTTGCCTTTCTATTTTTGCCTATTTTCTCATAGTCTCAGAGAAGAACCTTGTGACTTCCTTACCACGGATAGTCTGCTCACCTGAGGATCTGTTTGTATTTTGGACTTGTAGTTTCCCAAATCCAAACCACTGCAGAATACCTTTCTCTTTTGTCTTTTCATCTTTAAATACCTACTGCCATTTCAATTGGAGTACATATGTTTTCATATACTCTAGATTATACTAGAGTACTTTTTTTTTTTTCAAAATGAAAATCCAGGTCAAAAACTATAATTAAATTCTTTAAGTTTTCATTTCTTCCTTAGAAACTCAATATTTGTTTGTTCCCTTGATTGCTGAAAAAGTCCTTATTCAACCTAATATGGATCAACTCCCATGTTCTTTCTTTTGATCTTTAGAAAAACCAAGGTTATTGTGAAACCAAAGATAGAGCCCTCTGATTTTTCTCTAGGTTCCAAAACTAAGGTTATTTCTACCTCCCAAAGAGCACTAATCACGGTTGCCCCAACATCTTTCAGGGGAACATGTAGAATTAGGATAAGCCTTATCTCATCCTTAGGTGGGATCACTCAGGCCACAACCCTCCCTTTCCTCAGAGATCATGTCACAGGCATGGTTCAAGTGTTTCCTTCCTTGTAGGCTACTCACCAGAAAAGCTTTCCAAGGGTAAGTGAGCACTGGTATGATGGCCAGTGCAAACCATGACTCCATCAAAGACGTTTACCTCCTTTTTCCCTTCAGATTCTGTGATTACCTCCCATTGGCCTGAAGTGGAGAAATCAGGCCGCTTCTTCACACTGCACACAGTGGTCTGAAAAGAAAAGTGATAGCTACAGGACACTAACCACAGCCAATACAGTGGACATCTTCGTCAATATGACTCTCTTTGCAGAGTGTTACACAAAGGCCTGATATCACATAAGAGAGCTCATGCGGGGATCTTTGATTTTCGTATTCCACACCTAGGAACTTTTTTGTCTGGGGCTGTGGTCAGAGTGAGAAAACTCCCACAAAGCGGGAGTTTGTTTTATTTAGCTAAATAAAATAGTTGGCCCGTTAATGTTGCACTCTCCTCTGCTTCTAGAACAGTGCAAATCCCTCATTCTCTTAGACCATGCCCTCAGATGTCCTGTGACACTTGAATAGAACTTGGGTTTCCCCTGTGCTTCTAAGGCACTCCATGCACTAAATGCCTATTCCTCCTCTGGCCCCCAGACATCCTGGGACCCTCTGATATCTTCTTATCCCAAGTCCTGTTCTCACTCTAGGCTTAAACTTGTGACTGAGTCACAGGACTCTCTTTCTTAGAGTATCAAAACTTCTCAGTGACTCATATTTTATGTAAATGAATCTCTCTTTAGCTCCCATAAATGCCCATGTTACAAGTAATTAAGAAAGAGACTGCAAGGGGTACTTGGGTGGCTCAGTGGTTATGCCTCAGGTCATGATCCCAGGGTCCTGGGATCGAGCCCCACATCCAGCTCTCTGCTCAGTAGGGAGCCTGCTTCCCCCACTCTGCCTGCCTCTCTGCCTGCTTGTGATCTCTGTTAAAAAAAAAAAAAAAAAAAAAAAAAGGCTGCAAGATGGGATAGCCAGTGGTATGATTTTCGGTTTAAAAAATGGGTTATTCTTGGGGTGCCTGGGTGGCTCAGTGGGTTAAGCCTCTGCCTTCGGCTCAGGTCATGATCCCAGAGTCCTGGGATCGAGCCCTGCATCAGGTGCTCTGCTCAGTGGGGAACCTGCTTCCCCCTCTCTCTCTCTGCCTGCCTCTCTGCCTGCTTGTGATCTGTCAAATAAATAAATAAAATCTTTAAGATAAATAAATAAATAAATAAAAAATAAATAAAAAATGGGTTATTCTGTCCAGCCTAGGGAAACATTAAGAATGCATTGGGTGTGGTACATAAACCATGAATCTTGGAACACTGAAAAAATTAAAAAAAAAAAAAAAAGAACGTATTCCTATGTGGTTTTAGGGTCTCTGACCATAATGTCTTGGTGGACTCCTAGAGATATTACCTAGAGATACTCAAGCTATCCTGCATTATTTAGAGTTCTTTTCTGTAAGGTTCTTGGTTTTACACAGGCTTGTGTCTCTGCATTGGTCATCCTTTTATTCCTTCTTCATTTGGCAGATTCCTATTTACCTTTGAACATTTAGCTTACATATTATCTCCTCTAAGAAAACTTCCCTGATGCCTATTGTCTCATGCCCTAATGGATTAAGCACCGTTCCTCTTAGCTAACAATATATAAATCTCTATGGGACTTATTACCCTGTTACTCTTCACTTTTATTAGTTAAATTTACAGAAATTTTTTTTCTTCATTTTTTTACCTTTTTTTTTTTTAAAGATTTTTTTTATTTATTTATTTGACAGAGAGAGATCACAAGCAGGCAGAGAGGCAGGCACAGAGAGAGGCAGAGAGAGAGGAGGAAGCAGGCTCCCTGCTGAGCAGAGAGCCCGATGCGGGGCTTGATCCCAGGACTCCAAGATCATGACCTGAGCCGAAGGCAGCGGCTTAACCCACTGAGCCACCCAGGCGCCCATTTTTTTACCTTCTTAATGAGGCTATGAAATCGATTTTTTTTTTTTGTCTTTGTATCTCCACTGATTATTATGGTAACAAATTTGTTTAATGTGTTTAACAAGTGAAGGGAAGTCACTGAGCTATAAATGACTTACTTTGGAAGCTGTCACTGGATATTACCATTTTTTTTTGTTTTGTTTTTTTTGTTTTTTGACCCAGCACTTTTTTTTTATTAATAAATTTTATTTTTTTTAAACATATAATATATTTTTATCCCCAGGGGTACAGTTCTGTGAATCGCCAGGTTTACACATTTCACAGCACATACCCTCCCCAATGTCCATAACCGCACCCCCCTCTCCTAACCCCCCTCCCCCCATCAACCCTCAGTTTGTTTTGTGAGATTTAAAGCCACTTATGGTTTGTCTCCCTCCCAATCCCATCTTGTTTCATTTACTCTTCTCCTACCCCCTTAACCCCCCATGTTGCATCTCCTCTCCCTCATATCAGGGAGATCATAATTGTCTTTCTCCGATTGACTTACTTCGCTAAGCATGATACCCTCTAGTTCCATCCACGTCGTCGCAAATGGCAAGATTTCATTTTTTTGATGGCTGCATAGTATTCCATTGTGTATATATACCACATCTTCTTTATCCATTCGTCTGTTGATGGACATCTAGGTTCTTTCCATAGTTTGGTTCCTCAAAATGTTGAAAATAGAACTACCCTATGACCCAGCAATTGCACTACTGGGTATTTACCCTAAAGATACAAACGTAGTGATCCGAAGGGGCACGTGCACCCGAATGTTTATAGCAGCAATGTCTACAATAGCCAAACTATGGATATTACCATTTTATTATCATTGTTAAATTGTTAAATAGAAAAAGTCATGATTTAGCAGACTAATCAGAAGGTAGAAGGGAGGGGTGCCTGGGTGGCTCAGTGGGTTAAAGCCTCTCCCCTTAGCTCAGGTCCTGATCTCAGGGTCCTGGGATCAAGCCCTGCATCAGGCTCTCTGCTCAGCAGAGAACCTACTTCTTCTCCCACCACCACTCCCCCTCACCCCCCCCCACGGCCTGCCTCTCTGCCTACTTGTGATCTCTGTCTGTCAAATAAATAAATAAAATCTTTTAAAAAAAAAAAAAGAAGAAGAAGAAGAAGAAGGTAGAAGGGAGGTGGGGGTAGGGAATTGGATGCTGGTGGTCAAGAGGTACAAAATTCCAGTTATAAGATAAGTACTGGGGGTATAATAATGTATAACACGATGACTATAGATAATACTGCCATATGGTATATTTGAAAGTTGTTTTTTTTAAATTTTATTTATTTGACACACAGAGAGAGAAATCACAAGTAGGCAGAGAGAGCGAGGGAAGCTGGCTCTCCACCAAGCAGAGAGCCCGAAGCAGGACACGACCCTAGGACCCCAAGACCATGACCTGAGCTGAAGGCAGAGGCTTAACCCACTGAGCCACCCAGGCACCCTACTTGAAAGTTGTTAAGAGAGTAGATCCTAGTAGTTCTCGTCACAAGGGGTAAAAAAGGTAGAAGATTTAGGCTTTTTGCCAGCTGTCAGAAATACGTATTCTTCTATGGCCATGGTTAAGGATGATAGAAAAATCAGGTGCCTGGATGGCTCAGTCAGTTAAGCATCTGTCTTTGGCTCAGGTTGTGATACCAGGGTCCTGGGGTTGAGTCCTACATTGGGGTCCTTCTCCATGGGGAGACTGCTTCTCTCTCTCTCTCTCTATTTCTCATGAACAAATGAAATAAAATCTTTGGAAAAAAATGATAGAAAAATCATGGAAGACATAACAGGAAAGAACCATTGAAGTGATCTAATATAATCATCTTTTTTTACAAACAACAAAACAAGAGACATCAAAGTTGAGGAACTTACTTGTCTGAAGTCACAAATTGATTAGGGGTAGAGCAAAGACTAGAACTCAAGTTTTTGTTCCCCATTTCAGTGTTCTTCCCTCTACACCAGAGTTAACTTCTTGGTTTCCTCAGTAATTTCCCAATAACTGCTTCATTAGGTGGTTTGTGATCACATGAAAATAATGCATTGGTGTGATGTGATGAGCAGTGAGTGTTGTATGCAACTGATAAATTGTTGAACACTACATGTGAGACTAAGGATATGTTAGCTAATTGAATTTAAAAATGCATTGGCAGGTACGTCAGAAAGTATAAAGGGGTTAAGCAGTAGCAGATAAGTTGTGGTGGACCCAGAGTTGTTTTAGGTTTCCATACCTGTCAGTTCCCCTCTCTGACTGGGAAAACACTTCCCCTCATTTGTTTTATTGCAATCAAATAGTATGAAGTGAAGGAATGAAAACATCCTGGCCAGTGGCTTCTAGGATCTGCAGCCAAAATATATAGAAAAAGGACCTTTCCATGGATGTATTTCAGGCACAGAGAAGACAAAAGAACAGAGTCTTTGTCTGGATAGGATAGATATATGGGCATATTAAAGCATTCTTTACACATAAGCACTGATTAATGAAGCCACATTATTCATTTACTTGACAAACAACTTCAAACACAAAGATACCCACAAAATTCCCTACCTTAAATTGAATATACTTTAGAAGATCAAATTCTTTGGCATACATCTTGAAATACTCGAGGACTTGGGAGTTGTGCATGAAGTTAGGATAATGATCTGGGATGGGATAGTCACTGAAGCACATCATCTCCTTAGATGTGTTGATGATCACCGATTTGTAAATACTGGCCCTTCCTTCTTCAGGATTTTCCTGCATTAAATAAGAAACATTCATAGCAACTTGAGAATTAACTTCATGACTTTTTAAAAAAGATTTTATTTATTCATTTGACAGACAGAGATCACAAGTAGGCAGAGAGGCAGGCAGAGAGAGTGGGGGTGGGGGATGAAGCAGGCTCCCTCCTGAGCAGGGAGCCCGATGTGGGGCTTGATTCCCTGGACCCTGGGATCACGACCTGAGCCGAAGGCAGAGGCTTTAACCCACTGAGCCACCCACGTGCCCCACTTCATGATTTTTTAACAGTCAGTAAATATTTGAAAAAGTTTTCTGAAAGAAATGCCAATTAAAACACACACACACCCCTCCACATCTCCCAGTATTTGTGCCCTTAGGTATTGTCTCTTCCCTTTGATTCTGAGTTGTCTTTGTGACTTGCTTTTGACCAGAAGTGTCCAGTTGGAATGATACTGAATAGCTTCCAATACAGTTCTAACTAGTCTTGCAGCTTCTGCCCTCTGTGTCTTAGAAAGCTCAATCTGGTAGAAGTCAGCAGATATGTAAAAAGTCCAGCTACCTTAAGTCACCAATCTGTGAGTAAGCCCAAGTCAGACATGTGAAGAGAATGTCTGGGATACAGAGATGTGTAGCCAGCCCCCAGAAATTTGATTTATGCCAACTAAAGTTCTAAACATGTGAACAAAGAGACCATAGCAGATATACAGTCTCAGCTGTCACCTAATTGCAATGACATCAGATTCCAAGTGAGAACTGTTTCCTTGAATAATAGTCTTACAAATTTTTATATATTTCAAAGCCTAGGTGAGTTTCAAGGGTTGTTGTACACTGGCAAGACTGCTCTCCAGGAAACACTGTACTAACTTCTATTCTGTCCAGCATATGTTCCCGTATTACCTCATTTTTATTCATTTAAAAGACTATTACTTGGTGTTAGCACAAACAGAAACTTAAGAAATGGGAACTTATGTTGGAGAGAGTGAAGTTAGTACAGTGTTTTCTGGAGAGCAACATGACAAGTATATGAAAACCCTTGAATCTTACTTAGCTTTTTAAGAAATATTCAGCATAGTAGACAAAGTTATGTTAAATGATGTTAATGATAGCATCACTTACAGAAAAGAAATAAGCTAAGTACCTGTAATATTGTGACTTTTATATCTCTCATATGCATTTGGTCTTTGTATGTATTTTGCATATATATGTGGACCTGCCTACAGTTCCTTACTCATAGCTCCCCAAACCCTTGGAATTTCCTAAGTGTTAAGAATGATAAAGATGGGGGCGCCTGGGTGGCTCAGTGGTTAAATCCTCTGCCTTCGGCTCAGGTCATGATCTCAGGGTCCTGGGATCGAGTCCCGCATTGAGCTCTCTGCTCAGCAGGGAGCCTGCCTCCTCCTCCTCTCTCTCTCTGCCTGCCTCTCTGCCTACTTGTGATCTGTCAAATAAATAAAAAAAAATCTTTAAAAAAAAGAAAAAAAATCTTAAAAAAAAAAAGAATGATAAAGATGTCTTTTGTTGTGTTAATGAGGTAGCTTTTGGAAACCACTTAAGGATAGGGGCTGATTGTCAAGGATAGGAGCCTGGGTGGCTCAAGTCAGTTAAGATTTCCACTCCTGATTTTGGCTCAGGGTTGTGAGATTGAGCCCCACATTGGACTCCCTGCTGAGTGGGTAGTCTGTTTGAGATTCTTTCTCTCCCTCTCCTGCTGCCTCCCCCACCAACCACGAACGCGCTCTCTCTCTCGTAAGAAAAAAAAGGGGGAGGCGCTTGGGTGGCTCAGTGGGTTAGGCCTCTGCCTTCAGCTCAGGTCATGATCTCAGGGTCCTCGGATCGAGTCCCGCATCGGGCTCTCTGTTCAGCAGTGGGACTGCTTCCCCCTCTCTGTCTACTTGTGATTTCTCTCTCTGTGTCTAATAAATAAATAAAATCTTAAAAAAAAAAAAAAGTTAAAAAGGAGCCAACCAAGTGATTACAGGGCTGGAAATTCCAGTCCCACCCCAAGTCCCACCACTGGCCTTTGGGGAGGGGAGAGAGGCTAGAAGTTGAATAAATTGTTGATGGTCATGATTTAATGATTTCATCCACTGTGCCTACAATGAAGCTTCCATAAAAACCCAAAATCATGGGGTTTAGGGAACTTCCAGGTTGGTGAAGCTGAGGAGATACGGGGAGAATAGAGTACTCAGAAAAAACACAAAAGCTCTGTGTCCTGTCCTCATACCTTGTCCTATGCATTTCTTCCATTCGGCTGTTTTGAGTTCTATCCTTTTATAGTAAACTGGTAACCTAATGAGTAAATGGGTTTCCTGAGTTCTGTGAGCCACTATAGCAAATTAATCAAACCCAAGGAGGGAGTCATGAGAACCTCTGATTTATAGCCAGTTGGTCAGAAGTATAAGTAAAAACCTGGATTTGTGACTGGTATCTGAAGTGGGGTACAAGTGGGTGGCCCTTTCACAACTTTAAAAGTACTTATTACTACATCTTCATTTGGAAAATTCCTATCATTCAAGAGTCACAACAAATGGTACTTCTTTGAAGAAGACTTTCCTGTTTTCCCCACAGAGTTAGACGTCCCATTCACCTCTAAGCTCTCAAAGGCAACTTAAACTTAACACTGTATTATTCTGCATATATATCTATGACTGTGACGTACCTGAGAATAGGATGTATATCAAGACAGTGCCTGATATATAGTAGATGTTCAATAAGTGCTTTGAAATGAATTAATGACTAAATTATGGAACATGAATTTGGAGACATCTAAACTATAATTTTCAAATCTAGGTTGGTAGGAACATTGAAAATGGCCTATAATATAACTTTTAGTAAAAAAAAAAATTTTTTTTAATTTTATTTATTTATTTGACAGGCAGAGATCACAAGTAGGCAGAGAGGCAGGGAGAGAGAGCGAGGAGGAAGCAGACTCCCTGCTGAGCAGAGAGCCTGATGCGGGGCTCGATCCCAGGACCCTGGGATCATGACCTGAGCCGAAGGCAGAGGCCCAACCCACTGAGCCACCCAGGTGCCCCAATAAATAAAATCTTAAAAAAAAAAAAATCAAGCTCTTCCAAACACCTTATTAGATCCCAGGTAGGGTTTACCACTGTGTCAACCCACTGCTTTTTTTTTTTAATGTTTTAAAATACTTCATTTATTTATTTGACAGAGAGAGAGAGTGCTCAAGAGAGAGAGCACACAAGCAGGGCGAGTGGAGGGAGAGGAAAAAGCAGGCTTCCCGCTGAGCAGAGAGCCAGATGCGGAGCTGATCCCATAACCCTAGGACTTGGGACCAATGACCTGAGCTGAAGGCAGCCACTTAAAGACTGAGCCATCCAGGCACACCAACCCACTGCTTTTTATAAAAGAGAGTGGGAACAAGCAATGTTGGGTCAGTGAGTGGAAAAAGAAGCTGCTGCACCAGGGTTTTTAATTTTCCTACCATCAATTAATACATTTGCCCTCTACAAATATACCTTGATTGTATTTCCTGCCTAAGCACATGACTCACACGTATGAACAGGAAGTTCATACAAGAAAAGAGAACAGAAGCAGTGTTGCTCTTCTGTTTTTTTGACAGATTCAGAATTCCATGCGACAGAAGCTCTCTTAGGACTGTTCTCAACCTTGTCTGCACATTGGAATAATCTGGGAAACTCTAAAAAAACACTAATCCCTGGTCCCTACTCCCAAAGACCCTGTTTTAATTGCTCCTTGTCTAATATGGAGACAAGGTTGAGATCTGCTGGGAAGAGGTGGTGTGCTGGCTCCAGAAAGCCCAGGGCACCAGAGTTCATCCCATCAACACATTCTTAGCTAAACTGCAAAATGCTTGAGGACAGTGACAGGAGTTTATCTTTATTTTGACATCATCTAACAAAGTCCGAAGACCAATATACTGTTACTGATTTTTTTTTTTTCCCCCAAAGATACCATGTCATCGTCATTTATCAACTGGGAAGCTGGGGAAAAGGTCTCCACACCAGCTGCACATTAGAAATAAGTAGTGGAAAGTTTTATTGGCATCACAGGCCAATAAAACCACAACTTCTGGATGGTCTGACATCATTATTTGTTAAAGTCCTCCAGGTGATTCTTTAAAGTACAGCCAGTGCTGAGAACCACTGCTTTCTACCTTCTAAGTGTTTATGCATTCATTCATTTGTCTTTTATTTTTTTGGAGGGGAGAGAGTTGATAAATGTAAGAATTTTTAAAAACCTATTCGTCTAAAGGTATTTATTACTGAATTTATATTTTATTTTGTTTTAATTTTATATTATATTGTATCCACTTGTTATCTTTTTTATATTACTGATTTATATTATGTATACTCTTTTTTTTTAAGATTTTATTTTTAAGTAATCTCTACACCCAACGTGGGGCTCAAACTTAAAACCCTGAGATCAAGTCACATGCTCTTTGACTGAGCCAGCCAGGTGCCTACATACACCCTTTAGAGCTTTGCTACTGGAAGTGTAGTTCTCAGATCAGCAGCATCGACATAACCAAGAGGTTTATCAGAAATGTAGAATCTTGGCAGTACTCCTAATTAATGAAATCAGAATGTACATTTTGGCAAAATCACCAGTGAATCATATGCACATTAAAGTTTGAGAAGCACTGCTTTGGTATGCTTTAAGGTTTTTAAAAATTCAGATGGACTAAAGAATCTTAAAAAAAAATTTCCAGCATTAACTGTTTGTTAAATCCTCAGCATTCATAAGGAATTTATCATTTTAAAGCTATTTCATTCATGAAGTAATATTAAAGAATGAAAAATCAAGATGATATGTTTCACATTAGCACCTAGTTTCCACCATCAGTCTGATCTATTGTTAGGAGGAGACTAAGAATTGACTGAAATTCATGTCTTGAAAACTTATAATTATTACTAGAAAGTATTCAGCAATAATAAGAAGGAGGCAAGTGGAGAGTAAATCATATACTCCTGCTTGGCAGGTGGAACAGAAAAAGAGGAAGGGAGATAGGAAAATGCAAGTGGTGGTATCTG